TAGTCTGTGAGGTGGGCTGTGCCTGTATGGTCTGTCACACAAATGATTAGGGGCATCCACATAGCTCCTAGTGGCAAATAGGAATGCCAGGAGGTCCCTGTGCAAACTACATTGGTGCTAGAAAGCATAAAGCTTCCTGGTCCTAGGTCCTTCCTAACATCAGCATTATTCGAATGCAATTGATTATGCTGACCTTTGATGCACTTCTTCCATGATTCGGTTGTATTTAATGCATTTACAATCTGTGCAGAAAATTAACCAGCCAACACAATATCTGCAGCATTTATACTCAGCTTTTCCCCCATTCTGGCCGGCACACACAGCAAGCTGACAACATCACACTACTTGAGGAAGTGGACAACAGTCGGACAACAAATTTTTCAAAACCTCTTCATGCCTTCCAATTCCAACAGTCATTTCTTCTCAAGAATTTTTCCACAACCTCTTGATAAAGGTTATATCTATGAGCTAGTTTGCAGAATGTCTCCAGATATTTATGCTTGCAAATCATAGCCAGTAGTAGCTTGCCATCTTTTTCCGCATTAATCTGTCATCAATGCAACACATTTTCCTAGGTGCTGAAATTCATTCCATATGGACAATGCGTGGAGGGGTGTGGAAACTAAAAATGAATTGTAACTTGGCTGTGGGAATTCGCGGAAATAACAAGCATAAACAAAGTTTAAGTATCCTAACTGATTTGAGGTACTTGGACCGAGCCTCTTTATGAGTAAACAATCCAGCATTCCCTGATTGCCTTTGCCAGTTATGAACTTGCTTTTTGTTGCAATTTCACTGCTCTGTCTTGCCTCTGTTAGACTCTGTATTGACCTTGGATATCTGGACACTGACCTACTGCCTCACCTCTCAACAAAGCCTTTCGGAATATCCTTTTGCTAAACTCAAGCATTACTCAACTTACATCCTGCTGCAATACCTCCCTCAGATCAACTTCTACATTCACTCTTGGAAGTTGAGAAGTTTAGTTTACTTTAATTTATCTTTCTTTACTTCAGTTTCACTTTACTTTACTTTAACGATATTGCCAAGCATAACTCAGCCTTTAACCTTTATCTCTTTCCCAAACTGATTCCCATGTGTTCTCAGCCGACTCCAGACTAAGCTCACTTACAGTATATTATAAATACATAATTGTTCTAACCACTTGTGTTGTCCAGCTGAATTATCAAGTTTTTTTTGTATGAACGTAACCTATAAACATCAAAAACTTATGATCCAAATGCAGGAAAACTTACTTAACAAGAGACATAGAAACAGTGGATGAAATGTTTAATGGGAAAGGATTAACCAAAATCCAGAAGAATTCATTAATTGAGAAGCAAACAATCCCAAAAAGGGTGAGTTCTTTGTACATGACAATTTCAGAGGCACTTCTTATGTACAACTTATTGTTCCATTTTTTTTTTTTTTTATTTATTTTTTTTACAATGAATCCACATTTGGGGATTCAATGGAAAACAGATAGTTATGGCAGAGTTTCAAGAAACGTAATGTCTACTTAAACAGAAACAGGAGTATTTTAGTGATTTTCTAATACAGAGAAGGAAGGTTACATAAAGTCAGCTAGTGTCATTCTGATCTTCTTTTTTTTTTTAGTATCTTTTTTTTCTCCATTATTTAAAACTCATATGAAGTTTGGCTACTGCTTCTCATGAGCCCACTCCTGGCCAGTAGTAAATGTTTCTGTTTAGATTAGCAACCAGTCTTTCAGGGCTAGAATTTGAGCTCACAGTGGATAATCTACAAATAATAAGTGCTAGCTAAGTGATATGAGTCAAAACAAACCCAAAATGATAAATTATTCAGTTACAAAACGTAAACCAAAAAGTGAAACAAAATTGAGTTCTTACAAATAATGAAACCAAAACATAAGATGTAAAGAATTACACTTATGTTACTGGAAGATTTTTTTTTGTTTTCTTATTACTTTAATGACTAAAAAAAGCAATGAAAAGGTTTCCTGATGGTTAAAAACCCAACTGAACAATTTACTTTCTTCTGTCGAACCAAAATGTGATTTTTTGTTTTTTTTACTTTTCACTATGTCAACTGGTGTGTAATGAAGAAAACAGAATGAGGATTTCAGGAGTTTTAAGCATGATTGTCTGCAGATGTGCAATAGAACAAAGGGCAGACAGGACTCAAATATTTGCCTTGAATGAGCTGATGAAGAGACGACCAACAATAACACACTCAGCCCCTGATCAGGATGTTCTCTCTCTTTCTGATTAATTCTTGCTATACCCAGTGGGAGATTCAGCACATAAAACTTTCTTTTGTGAGGATAAAAATCTATTCTTTAAAAATCTATAATTATCCTGTGCAGTGATTGGGTTGGTGATTAGAGAGCTGCAGAACAAAAGCTGTGGTAACATCACTAAAACCTATGTGAGACCATGTGTCCTAACCAAGAGGTCTTGTGTGAATCACACTGATGGTGACCACATGTTGCACAGTCATTATGGTTATAAGCAATGGTTTGTGTTCTGATTTCTTCAGATGTATCAAGATTAATCATTTCCCCTCCACCTCCTTGACCTCGTCATGGACAAGCTGCGGTGCAAAAGTATCAATACCCTCTGATTCTTTTCTCATTTTGTCTTGTTTAGAGTTTTATTTGGATTTTCAATTAGACATTAACACAAAGCAGATAATTGGGAAGTGGGAGGTGAAATTGGAGGGGAAACAGCAATACTGTAGATCGCATTGAGCACATCATCCTTACTGTGAAACATGTTAGAGGCAGTATCAAGAAATGTGGATGCATTTCTACAGAAGGTATAGAAAGCTGGTCAGAGTTTGAACTAGAAAAATTAAATATGTTGACACTGAAATTCTTTAGGGTAAGGTTTGGTCTTCCAGCAAGACAACAGATCTAAAATTACAGTCTGAGTTATGATTGAAAAGGTTGGAATAAAGCATAGTCCTAAGCCAGAATGGGCAAAGACTTGGTAACTTGTGTTTGCAAATACTTAAAGTTGACTGAGCCTGAATTGTTTAGAAAAAAAGAAGATGAAATACTTGTGGCTATAATTTCCACAAAGTTGAATTTGTGTGATCTAAATGCAAATATACACTACATCAATCATAATTATTTTTTATTATGCCATATCTTTCTTCTACTGCTTTATAACAGGTTATGTTTGCAAAGTTACAAAATTTGGATAATAAATACCAATACTGAACTGATCACAATTGTTTAACTAGAGGATTTAAAAAATAATTTACTGTGAGGGACATTTCGTTTTTTCAATGTTTCATCAATGTTTTCCATGGATGTGCTTTGATATACATAAACTTTTTAAATTAAAATAGTTGCAACAAGTTTAATATGCACACATTATATTTTAGTGGATTTCCTTTCTAGACATTTTTAAAAATTACTCAAGCTGTTTTTATCTAATTTTGCAACAAATTTGTCCTCCTACACTCAAAATAAATAAATAAATAAATAAATAAATAAATAAATAAATAAATAAGAATTGAAGTTGTAAAAACACAGGAAGTTTTCAATGACTGTACATATATTTTCATGTTCACTGTTGTGTTTATGTAAGATACCTTTAGGGGATTGCAGTTAATATCATTTTTATCTTGTTTGTTAAACACAGACGGTCAACAATTTTCTCTTTGTGTCTATTTGAAAAGCAGTCACCTTGATGGGTAGCAGCAATAATCAGACCTATTCTACCTTGGTCTTGTTTCAAAAGATCCTCGTTGTTGTACAGTAGTAAGAAATGACCAAAGAATGCACAGTGCTGTGTGTACAGATTAGTCATGTAAATAAAGGGACAAAAGCTTATACTGTTTGATAAGTATTGAATATTAATTGAAAAATGGAATCCATATTATACCCAAAATGAACATTTGAACACAAAATAGAAAAATAGTTTTGGGAAAGGAACAGAAGACCTACAATATTACCCAAAAAATTTTTAAAAGCAGACCACTGGACTTTGTTTTCCAAGTTTGAAAACATCTCGCTTCCCATCCAGAAAGCTTTCTCAATTCGAAATGTCTGGAGTAGTGTTGAGTTCCAGGCTTTATAAAGTAGCCCAACAAAAGCCCTTTTATGGCTTAGATAACATGCAAATTGACCAGTTCAATTCTTTTTTTTTTTTTTGAATAACTAAATGCCTTTTTTTTCTGACCATGTTTATTCTCCCACACTGGTTACATTTGATCACTGCTGCACTTTAATTTATGGAAATGTCATGAGAAATGAGAAAATTTCATTTCGTATACACTCTGTGTATACAAACATTGTCTAAGTCTAAAACAATGACCTGGATGACTAAGAATTTTCACCAGCCTCCTACAATGATTCCTCTCTATTAAAGTGTCATGTTGTCTGAATTGTACAACTAGTTTGTTATTATTGTATGTGTAACTCAATTCAAATTAGAAATGGACAAATACGCATAAATAATAAGAGATTTCTTTAAAAGGTCCTGGTTTGACAAATTGAACCTGTTAAATTTTTGTTTTGGGAATAAGTAAATGCTTTTATTTGGACCATGTTTTTTCTCCCACACTGGTTACATTTGATCAGTGCTGCACTTTAATTTATGAAAAAAATAAAAAATAATATATATGTATATATATATATATATATATATATATATATATATATATATATATATATATATATATATATATATATATATATATATATATATATATATATATATACATATATATATATATATATATATCTATTTATATATATATATATATATATATGTATATACATATATACATTGGACATACCATATATATATATATATATATATATATATATATATATATATATATATATATATATATATATATATATATATATATGGCATATCCAATGCTTTAATTAAATATATAAAGAGTATTTAATCTGATTTGTATTCACTTTCATTGTCGTTCAGATGTCCTCTGCTCCTGTCTCACCCCTCGCCCTCATCACCAGCAAAGAGAAACAGAAATAGAGAGGCAGCTCCTTCCTGCGCTCATAGCGAGAGCTCCGAAGACAGAGACAGTCACACACACATATATGACGTTTGCACCACTTGTTTCCCTTTAGGTACCACCAGATTGGACAGGAAATAAGAATTACACGGATTTCTAAGTGTTATTAAATGCGTGGGTAGCGATCGGGATGGAAATACATCAATCGGCGATGAGAAGTTGTTTTATCCGGCTGATCGTGTGAGCGCTGCTGCTGCCGGCTTCAAGCAACAAAACTCATGGTAGGTTTTATTCCCTGTATTGTTAGTGCTATATCACCGCCTTTTTCTTTTTTTATATATAACAAAAAAATGTACATATCTTCATTCGAATCTGTTTTCTGATTTAATTCCTCTGCAAATGGAGCAGAAATGGAAAAGTTTTGGGGGGTTGATTTGACTCTCAGTATGTCTCTGTTTGAGACATCACCTAATATAACGGAGTCCTTTCAGCGATCAGGCGCGCGCTGCCTGCGCACAGAATGAATGCTTCACTATGTATTCTAATCTTACTTCTCTCATTTTACTGCTATTTAAAATGTAAGGCCGTGACTGAGTAACAGATATGAACACTTTATTCTGACCAGTCATTTACTGTTGAGTGAATGGGAATAAATGAACTAGGGGTGATTTATAACAGTCTTAGATATAAGTTTCAGCTACTATTCATGAGAAACTGAGTTTCAGTCAAAACAAAAGGATTTTCTGCTGACCAATGAGAGCTTAGGAAACCTCAGGAGGCATGAAGTGGTCCTCTTTAGCCTTTGTCCAAGCAGACTCCCAGCAGACCACATAGTGTTAGGAAGCGCATGCGGGAATGACTGGGAGCAGTTCTCATAGATTTTAAAGCTAGTTATTGTTTCTCTCTAAAACACCATTCCATGATATTTTATTTTTCTCTTAGCTGCTTCTTCATTTAAATAATATTTGATTTAAATGAAACGCCCTTCTAAAAATAAACCTTTACAAATTTTGATCACAAAGATTTTTTTGGACCAGTTTATGCACAAATTCAGAAATTTGGTTTTGATTCCACTTCTCTCTTATGATTGGAAATAAAAAGTATTTTCTCCCAGGGAACATTTTTACAGAAAATTTTAATAAGGGTGGCCAGGCAATAAACAATGTACACTGAGGGGTGGTTGAAGTCGATATGCACCAAAACCTCAGGGTCAATCAACACTGTTCCAACAGGAAAATTAGCGAGCAAAACATCCATATTTTCTAAATAAAGACAAACTATACTTTCCAATAGCCTTTGCTTACAAATAGAGGAATATATTCAAACGTCCGTGCTTTCTAGATAAAAAGTATAGTGGATAAAATTCTTTCAGGTTTGAGTTTTGGGTGAAAATCTTTTCCATTGTCATTACTTACCTACTTTTATCAGTAATTATTCTGCATAAAATTTATATTTACAAATACTAATATCTACATAAATTGATCATTTAATACTTTTTAATTAAAATAATTTATCTATCATTTTACTGAAGACTCCTAGATGACTTGCAGACACACATAATTTTCTCTTTACCCCATAAAACCCAAAATCTAGTTCTGAAAAGAGCATGAATTCTGCATTTATCATCTTTAATGTTAGTATATTGATGCGCATAATTACCCACAGTGTTTCTGTTGTCAGGTAATTGATAATATATGAAAAATTAAAATGTTTTGCCACCATCTGTATTAGAGGGAAATAAATGGTAGGGGTGGCCACAGGGTTGTCAATGATTGGCTAAGGGGGCCAGGGGTGGCCATGGCCCCCCATCTAGCTCCGCCACTGCGTTTTACAAAGTTAAATTGGTGCAATTTAATCCCTTAACTGCATTTGCATTTCTTTTTTATGTTTCTAAATATTTTGAGTCATTTTTATGAAACTCTTCCAATGAATGTGATTTTATTACCTGATATATCTAGTCATCATTTCATTTACGAACTGTATTTTCAACAAACCACAAAGTGTTCCAGGATCTGCTGGGTTATACAGAACATTGATATAAGAATGATATAAGAACCTCTGTTTATAACCACTGAGATAAAGACAAGTTTAAAATTGTCCATGTAAACTATTTTCTCTCTAAACAGCCCACGTCCCTCAGTGGAGCTTCTCCTTCCTCGTTCTAAAGATGGGCTTCATTCAGGAAAGCAGCTAAAGAAAATACTGAACAATGAATATATAACTAAGGTCTCAAAGATGCATCATTTACCTTTTTGTAGAGTAGAAATTCTGCAGATTTACTGTTCCTGTTGAGCTTAGTTTTCATACACTAAAGCCCTTTAGTAGGCGACCTCAGGAAAACACTGTTGTCACAAATCTTTGACATTTGCAAATAACTTCAGCAAATAGCCAGAGACCTTCTGGAAACACAATTTTTGTCTGTCACCACCGATTTTTGGTTACATTTGGGTTTGAACTTTCACAAGACTATTAGACTTGCACCGGTCAATTGGCAGTGCTCAGAAATCAACCGATTTACATGATTGGTGACTGGACGTTCATTATGAAGACCTCTGATTTTAAGCTCCAATCATTGTGTTGTTGATGACTTTTTTCTGAGCGGACATGCGTCTTTCTCCCATGCTTGGTCCATGTTTGTTTTGGTCAGAGTACCCAAAAGAGGGACAAATCACCCTGAAAACAGAGGGAAGAGGAGATAGTAGCTCAGATAGTAGCAGTGGGGAGAACATAGGGAGCGAAAGAACTATAACCGGGTGCCAGCCATGCCGCCCTCTGCAGCAGAGAAACCAGAGTTGTAGATCACTGGGCAGACAGTGCACCAGAGCAGACAGATAAGTCAGATCAAGAGGAGAGTGGAGGAGCACAGCGCAATAGATCCATGACGAAACAGCTCCTGGAAGGGGAGGAGCTATAGCTGACCGAGGCCAGATAGGCTAACTGCGGAGCATCTAAGGAGCACAGTGGGGGATTGAATAGATCTGCCAGGAAAAAAGGATGCTGATTGTGGGGCAGAGGCTACTGTTGACTGGGAGTAGGACAGTGGTATTTTGGAGAAGCCCTCCATGGAGAATGAGCAGTGAAAGCCTACGGATAGCCGAGGCTAGCCTCTAGAGGCTAACTGCCAGAGGTGGAAGGGTAACAACGGAGGATTAGAGAAGCCTGCAGGCTTACATTGTGATGGAGGGGAAGGGGACTGATTTTAAGCACCAGTCATCAACAAAACAATGACCGGTGCTTAAAATCGGTGGTCTTCACGCTGGAGGTAGGATGATGAAACAGTCCTTCTAGGGCTAAATTAAAACAGCTTTATTAAAAGCCGCCTACAGACCTCTTAAGAGCATTCCTGCTTCATCCTTTGTCTACATTATTTTCTCTATCTCGCATTTTAATGAAAAAAAGCTTGTCTTACCTGCCACCTTCACGAAAGCAGCAGTGAGTTCATGATACTTTCTCATCTCCTATATTTTTGATACTTAATGATACAATGTCAATGTACATGAGACAGCAGCTGAAGAATTTATGGATTTGATACTGTCATCGGCGATCGACGGATACTGATTTTGTGATTGGAGAGCGGCTCCCAAAATCCTGCCTGGTGCATGTTTAGTATTAAAATAATGTATATGTTTTTATCTAGACATCTAGTAGTTGCATTTGTACCAGCAAAGTCATTTACCTGTTGGAAGGTGAACCCCTCTTCTACTCTCTGGTCCAGTTCAGTTTTACTATAACATGTCTTCATTATTATTCTGTATTTTGCTCCACTCATTTTTCTATAAAAGAGCTTTCCTTCCCCTGCACACGAAAGTCTCCACACCATGATCCCACACCATGTGTCAATGTTAGGGTAATTTTTAACATGAAATGTGGAGTTTTGCATATAGACAAAAGAAATACAATATAGTTTTAGCACACCAGATCATCTTCTTCCACTTGTTTGATGCAGGTGGGACTCTACAGGGCTTTTGATGAACATCTTGACAGTCAGACAAAAGAGTTGTCGTGTCAACAGCTTTTCTGCTGCTCCTACAGAGTTTTCAGGGACCTCTTGCATGCACCTCTGATAAGGACACTTATGTAGTCTGTATACATTTAGTTGGATGGGTATTTCTTATAGGATCTGTGGTTGTGCTTTTTTGTTTTTATTTTGATGAACTGAGGAGGTCAAAATGCACATACTCCCCTTATTGAAATTTAAACCAATCCAGCATTTAAAGACTATATACACTGTGGCATAAAATTACTCCTCACAAGGGATTTGTCTGCATGTGTGATGTCTTGTGCCTGTTACTTCCTACAAGTTGATAAAGACTGTGTACAGAGCTGAGACACACACAGTAGGCGTTCCAAATGTGGTAGGGATTCTCTCCATCGCTGAAATATATAATTATACAAAGAGTGGGATGGGTGATTAGGAAGATTTAGACAGGGCCTAGCGTGCGTGGTCTCCAGCTGGTACACTCTAGTTCTGCTCCTGGTCATCTCATTTCTCTGATTTCTGTGAAGCGAGAAAGTGCGTCTGATTAATTTTCCTACTTACAAAAGCAGAGCTGCTTCACCTTTTGCCCAGCAGTGATTTAGGTGCAGTATTCTTTAAAAGAAGATGATGAAGCATTCATTCATGAAAAACAGGAAGAATTTTGAATAAATAAAGTCTGGTTTACCATTTGCGTCGGTTCTGAGTTTCTCGGCCAGACTTTTACTGCATGTAAAATTGATAGCAGTATTTAGGCTACCTTTCTGTTTCTTTTTTTAGGCACATATGATAGCTCTTGCAGGGATGAACCAGCTGTTTTGTAGTAATTACTGGAGCACAGAGATTGAAAGCCTTTGTTATAAAAATATTTGCAAGAGATTTCTCAGGGGGAAAATATTCAGTTAAAAGAAACAGAGGGGGATGTTCAGGGTTCCTATGCAGTTTATAGAACTGCATGATAAAGAACCACTATATTCTAGATGTGTATGCAGTTGGAATGGAATATTTGGAAAAGATAAAAATATTTTACATCCCATGATTTTGGGAAAATAACATTTTTAAGTTCACTTAATCAAGAAAACTAAGATTATTCTGCATTAAATAAATCTGAAGAGAAATGTCCATATGTGACACAGAGATGTCAATAGATATGAAATATTTCTGTGGCTTTGAACAAAAGCTACAGGCTTGATTAGTCAAAATTAAAAGGTAAATTAAAGATTTCAATAGTGAAACATGGTTTTTGGACTTTAAATGGGTTCTTCTGTCTAAGACAACTTGCATTTGAATCACCGTAGCATCCAG